GCCATCTTTAAATTCAACACCCAAAATATCTGGGTCCATGTACTTTTCCATTTCAAAAGGAAAGGTAAATAAATTTCCTTAAAGGTGCAATGATAATATCCAAACATACGGTGATACATTCTAGTCAATTCAACAACTTCATAATCTGCCCCAAATTAATTAATTAATTAAATATAATGTAAATCTCATTAAAATCTTTTATTAACACTGCATATAAAAAAGAACAAAAGCCTCAAAGAGCTAAGTAAAACAAGAAAAAATAGGAGTCACAGAAATCTACTCTTTTGGGTAATAAAGCACAATGATATAAAAGACACAGTAGAGAAAAATAGTTCAGAAATAGATTTATATGCACGTGATAGAAATGACTTCACAAGTCAATGAACAAAGGACTCTTTATTAAATGATGAGGGTTAAATAGTGGCATACGGACATAGGGAATCTATATCCACTATTATTGTTGCAGATGAATTCAAACCCTCACAAGGTGAAAGAGAAAAGCAGATGGGGGTGGGGGGAGGCAGAAAAATAACTCACCTGCTGAGCAGAATGAGTTCTTTAAATAATGCCCCTAAAGAACCAAGATTATCAGGAAAAAGGGTGTGATGAATGCGAGGATGACACAAGTCGATACTCTTCCAAATAAGCAGAAAAATTACGTATTTGTAGGAGACAGAAAGTTAGAACCTGACAAGGTCTTAGTGGAGGAGAAGGATAAAAAGCTGGAATGGAGGTGCTAGGAGCTGGAGGTGGGGGTGGACGGGATTAGCAGCCACTGACCCAGCTATAGAACTGAGACCCTCAGGCGCCAACGCCTGGATCACAGAGCACAGACCCAAGCAGGCATCAGATGCTGGGGTGTGTCAGGAGCTCAGACCTGAAGGTGAAGCAATATGGAGATTGGGGGCCATTGTGGAAATCTTTCCAATTCTACATAGTCTATCCAAAGTAAACAACAAACAAAGGCATCCGGGAAGGAGTGAGCCCCTCCCAAAGAGAAGAAGTCTACACCGTCTACACCTGGGCAGTCTGTGCACTGGCCGGGGCAGCAGCCCTTCTGCCCACCTGTGTCCATGCAGGTGCCTCTTTTCACCAACTCGCTCCCTCCTCGTGGCAGCAGCCTCCTGCCTGCCATGACCTGCACCTGCCGGGGCTTCTCCTCACTGACCCCCTCAGCAGAGGCCACTCTCCTCAAGGCCCCCGCCTGTGACCATGCAGGCCTCTCTCTTAGCAAACTTGTCCCTTTCAGGAATGAAGTAGTTTGCAACCATGAGAATGGAAAACTGAAGCTCAAAGTTGGCTAGTACAAAGTGTAGGTGTTACTGTAACAGGGGGGTCCCCAGGAAAGGGGGAGGTTCCAGGTTCCCTGCCCACCCAAGGGAGGGTGGAGCTGAGCAGGGAGAGAAGAGGCTGCAGAGGAGACTGAGGAAGGAAAGAGCAGGATGGAGCCAGGAGGAGACCTGGAGGAGGCGCATGGGGCCTAGAGACACGTGAAGAAACTGCGCTTGTCTTTTGGTTGTGGACGGGGTGACACAGATGTGGGTGAGACCCGTGGGGAGGTGACAATGGCGGTTTTTGTCTTGATTTTGATTTTGCGCTTTTCCTTCTGGGCTTGTCTGGTTGTTTCTGACCCTTTTCTGTGGGTCCCCACTGGAAGGTGCTTTAGACTATGACAGGCTTTGGGGCCTTGCTCTGGGCCAATCCCGCTTGGGTGGACTTTTACCCACGAGGGGACGGGGAACTTTGGGTGCTTGATTTAGAAACTAGATTCTTTGCCTTTCCTGTATTGTTTCCTAGTTGTGTTAAAGTTCCTTCCCATTAAAGTCTCCTATGTTTTGTGTTGATGCGGCAGATGCGGAACCTATTTAGAGCAGGCAGGTTTGGGGGGTTTGGGGTGCCCCTCTCCCTGCCCTGTAACATTACTATTAATGTAACTTTTTTTTTTTTCTATTTACCAATTTGATATTTCTGGTGTAGAGGAACATTTTCATCAAGTTTTACCTTTTGAATGTTTTTGCCAGTCTTAGAAGTTACATTTTGATTCTTCCATATTTTCTGTATAGATGATTCTATCTGAAAATTTTATTCTCTTTAATTTCCAGAGTATCTGATTAATTTTTCTTTTTTATTCTGAAAATACCATTTCATGTTTTCAACTATTCGACCATTCTGTCTAATTTCCTAAGTTAATTAAAATTAATTTTTTATTATTTTATTTTTAATCTTAATGATTTTCCATTTTTATTATATAGGTCATTCTTTATTCAGTCTCCACCTCTCTGTCTCTTTCTTCAATCTTAACATAAATACTTAGAACTTTTTCTTTTAAAATGATGAAATAAGACAGTCAACCGATGTTTCTGTCTCTGTAACCAACTAAACAACATTCGTTAATCTACCCCAGTTTGGAAATTGTGCTGAGTTAATTCACTTGCTTCAAGTGTTAACAGAGTACAATACTGCCCCATCTACTGGTCAAAGGCATGCTTGGAAAATAAATGTGTGGAGTATGGCTCCTGTGAGTATCTGTGCAACAAAGATTTGTGATTACCCTACACGGAACCAAATAATATTACTCTTCTCATTTTACTCTGCACTAAAATATATCAGTTGTATAGCAATATAACATGTTGCTCACTAGAGACCGCCATGTGGTGATAAAGAAATCTCATATAAGAAATATACGATGCTTAATTTGTAGTGTTCTATACCAACCAAAAAGTTACTGACCATGATGGATGCTATGCTCCAGAATTTAAAAATTATAGCACCATAGCCAACATTAAACTTTAAATTTGTTTGGAGATTAACATATGCAATAGTCCTCCTATAACTGATAAATTTAAGTGCAAAATTTTCACATACATATTTTTAAAATAATATTCAACCTGCCCAGTGAATGTCTTACCTAAGTATTTTGCACTTTGCTCATGTATTGGGTTTTATCCTTTCTACTATAAATGTTGTGAAGGACAATATTACTTTGCAACCCTCCATAGATTTCCTGCTGTGCCTGGCTCACTCCTCTGAGGCAATTTTCTTGCATTCAAATTCGGTGTATTATATTTTTGTGTTCTCTTTGTTTTAACATTTGCTGCTCCTACTGCTGCTTGTGACTTTTTGCTGTTGTCTGTATATATTCACTATTATATTTAGATTTTTTTTTCCTTCTTGTGTGCATTTGTTATGTAAATGCTACTTTCCCCCCAGGCTGCTATCTCACTTTAGTTGCTGACAGCTGGGTTGTGCGGGGCTGCTAGATTCTGGACCCAGCACGGATTTCTCCCGGGCTGTGCCGCCTCCATGATTTCCCATATGGGTTACATCCTGCTCGGCTGTTGGAGACTTCCACCTTCTGCTTGTTTGTTTTCAGACTCATTGGATTTTACTCATAAATGTGGTTTGTTTTTCTTTTCAAAGGGAATTCATGCTTTTTTCTTTCCCTCTTGCAGTGCTACTGTCTCTGTACCTGAAGACAATCGCTTCTTAATTTCTTAAGTTCTGTTACAGAGAGTTTCAAATACTTCCACACAGCTGCATCTGAGCTTCCCTGTCCTTCGAATTTTGTTTTTCTGTTATTTTATGTCTGTCTATTTTAGAACAAACTTTATTCTACAAACACTACTCTCACACTGAAAACACCATAGGGATGAATGATTAAAGCAAATATGTCGTCTAAATGATAATTACGGAAAGGGGAATGTTCCAAGCTTGACACTATCTACTATTTCATTAGAAAGGGCTAGACAGATAGATAGATATAAGATATATATCTGTATCTATATATATATCTCCCAATATATTTTAATCACCCTAATTTCTCCATAAGATACCCAGATCCTCTCCAGTTCCATGTATATACACACATACTATATATATATATATATATATATATATATATATACACATACACACACATATACACACCTATATATCTATATATCAACAGTACTGGGATATAAACTTAAAATAATTTAAAAAAATTAGATTGTTCTCAGTTTAAATCTGTTATGTCTACATACAGAATATGTATAGGACACAAATAAATAACCAAAAATCAATCATTGTGAATATTTGGCTTCATTCAGTTCTTCCTTATATAAATTTCAATAACTAAACCTGTGAAGACACATAAAGAAAATCAACTTAGTGACCACCCAGTGTTAATTTTTAAACCAGAGTGAATTTTTAGAATTATATTACATCTCCCAATGTTTTATATGTTCTCTAATAGAAAACCAGCAGTCTTTATGCATCAGTTAGGGATTTTTCCCTATGTTTTAATTTCCCTATGTTTTAAGGGAGTAGCCTTGTTATCTAAGTGTGTTCATCACAAACATGCTTTGGTGTTGCCCATAATTACTTCAAATTAAGGATTATGGGATAAATACAAATAAATCAAAGTTTAACTTTCCCCTGCCTTGAAATCATAATACCCCTGGATCTTTTGATAACAAATCTCAACATTATTACATGACTTCACTTTATATTTTCTGAAAATGTATCTTTTTACCCATTGCTCATGATTCCTCTGTACCTATTTGCCCAAGTTTTATGCAAAATAAAGTATAGTTGGCATTATATTTCTTTTTCCTGTATCTTTCCTTGTTTCAAAAGAAACAGCTGTAACAAACACTATGTGGGAGAATTTTAAGTGTATCAAATCATCAACTTTCCATTGTCTTATTTTTACTAAGTTGAAATCGTATGGAAAAAAACTATATTACCATATAATTTAACATGACAAAGTAGAAAGATCTGAAACTGGTAATGGGAACACTGATTGACCTTTAAATATATTTCTCAGGTTGTTTCTATTTATATAGTTCATGCTGAGAGGATAACTCCTGAAGCACTCTAATAATGTAAGAGGCTGGTGTTAAGATACAATAAATATCATTTTAAGAATGGATAAATAGACCATTCAACTTGGTGAAGGATGTGATTCATAAGTTACTGTTCAATTATCTCATCTTATTATTTAGTCAATATGCACTCACCTCTTGTATCTGGAAGCAAAGATAAAACCATCACATTGAAATATGACTTCATATCAGAGCAGACGTATTGGATTATGTTTGATAAACTTTCATTAATTTATCTCTTTTCCTACAACAATTAAAATACTGTCAGATAATTACACTTGTCATTGATTGAAACATAACAAAGGAGGGCAGGGTGAGGTGGGATCAAGCTATCAGGTACAAGTTGTTTTCCTGATTAGCCTAGATAGTATTCCATTCATTCAGAAGACAATTCCCATTTTTAAGGATATGCCTCATAAAACTAAAACTAAAACATATCTTAGTATGGTGAAAGAGTAGACAATTTTCTCATGAGAGTCTATCAAAATGTAGCTCTCGATTGAGCTAAAGATAATCAAATCTGTAAATTGTGCATTAACAATCCATCCGTCAAGCATGGTAGATCCCAGGCGTATTTCATAAAGAGTTTCCAACTCAACAAGCTACAAAGGGCCATGGTCGGTAACATCCCTTCCCAAGGATCCTGAAGGATATTCTAAGGCTGGAATGTAAAAGTATAAAGCACGACTTGTCATGTATTTGACTAAAGAAATTCTAAGTCATTTTGAATCTGTTGCAACTTTTGTCAAAGGCAGCATCGTTCACCTTTGGCAAACCCATCACATCTCCGACTACTGTCCTTGATACTATTTATTTTGATCTTGCCTTTGTCTTCCAGGAAACATCCTCATCCTCTTTCTCACGATGGTTTCCTTCTGCTCCCATCTGTCAAGAGGACGGGAAATGATATTTCAGTGCAATGCACTGAGGGAATGTATAATTCATTTGGAAAGTTTTGATGTCAAAACAGTACTTTAAGATTCACATTAAATGATTTAGCCAAGCAAATAAAATTTGAACCAATGCAAAATGCCCTTAACAATAAAATAGCTGACTGTGACTAGCATCTCCAGCGCTCATTTGTGTAATTGTAGAAATGATAATTGGAGATAAAAGTAACTAAATTTTTAGTATTGTTTCTTAGATTTCAATTTTGATAATAAAATAATTATGGTAAAAACAGCATGATAGTTCTAGGAAGAAATACTCAATTTAAATAGTAAAGAATAAAAGTATTTTCCTCTGAATTGCCACAACTTGTTTCTTTTCTTCATTGCTCCTCCCTCCATCATTCCTTCACTCCTCTGCTCCTTCCCCACCCCTCCATTTCTTTCTTGTCCTTTCATGAAAAATACATTGAATGATTACTATATTCAGTATAAGGGCTGCCATTGTCAGCCTGCCTAGGGACTCTCACTCCACATCCCTTCTAAGTGTCTCCTTCCATGTCCCTAAAGTCCCTGATGCATTCCCAAGCCAAGAAGCAAGCTTGTCTCTGCTGCAAGTGCTTCCTCCTCATCTTCTCTCTAAATCTCCTCTCCCAAGTCCTTTCCAGCTTCCCACACCTCTCAGCTGCACCCTTCATAGATGGGGCAGGGAACAAGTAGCGTCTCCTGTTTAGATGACACTGTTCCAAATGGAACAGCACAATTGATGTACACAGTGATAGAGCTGATCTCAGAAACATCTTGCTGAGAAAGGCAAGCATGCCAAATGAGTCCATGCTGTTTAATTTCATTTGATTTGTTCGTACTCACCAGAGCAGATCTGCCCCAGAGAGATGGGGGGCAACTTCACCCCAATCTCAGCATGAGAAGGCACATGGACAAGAGCCCAGCACTGCTGCGCAGGACCATGGCCATAGCAACGAAAGCATATCTGCTGCTTCTGTGATGGACCATGGAGAGCATATCATCTGCTGCACCAACCAGTGACATCGTGAGGCTTTTATTACTACAGAAAACCTGACTAGTACAAGGAAACAAAGAGGTTCAGGTGAAATGGATAGATTTTCAGGAATGATTTTTCTGAGGTGGTGAGAAAGACAATGATTTACTACTCAAATGCTTGTCTCTGTTGAAGGTATAAATTAGCAAAGGGATGAATGTATGCAAAAATAGTGGCTTATGTAATATAGTTAGTTATATTTATAGATATTGACATGTAGTAAGAGACAGTGACATGCACATTTATGCCATTCAGACATGGAATGAACTGGAAAATACTCTGCATATAGGAAAAACAATTCGTACTTGTGAAATGCAGAAAGCTCCATGACAGATGTAGTCTATTTCACCCTCATTTTTGGTTCTATTATTGCTACTTTGTTAAGTACCACCAAACAAATTTCTATTTTGTTAACAACGTGTTTCCTCACTCAGAAAAACTTGATTAAATGCCTTAATATAAAGTCACACTCTTGCCTCCTCTCTATGATGTTAGCGATGTTATTTTACTTCAATTAGCGCTAGCCACTCTTAGAAAATACATTTACATCAAATCTCTTACATTCAGGTTACAGATGGATAACTCCAACATTATGAGTCCTTTATGGTATTTTACTTCTTAGAGGAAAACCACAGTTTCATTGTTTTTATATTTTTGTGATGGAGCAAATGTAATTTTAAACAACATAAAAACATTGCACTAGTAATAATAAATGAAACAAGATATTGAAACATAGGTGGAGTTTTTATCCTATTTGAAATATTAACCTGATTTTGAAGTCCCTTAATAAACCAAATGACTGATATCTATCATCACCAACATGAATAGCGCTCTTGGAATGTTTTGAGTTTCAGGCCCAAATGGTGCAATGATTCGTGGATTCGCCTATCTAAAATGGCTCATAGGTATCTAACCATGCTCTAAGCTGAACTCATTACCTTTTCTAAACCCTCCTCTTCTTTACTGAAGGTTGATCTGGAGATCATTTTAGTTAACCTGAACAGATAATTACAATTCAACACCATTTCTTATGCTGTCAAAATTCTAAGAGATCTCTCTGAGTTATAACCATTTCCTAAATACTGTCTAAAACTTCCTCTTTATTGACCACTGCTACCACTCATAAATTTCTTCACTTCTAACAGCATGCATTTCTGGGTAAATTCCTCCCTCTATTTTCTCACTAGCACTGAAATAATATTCTAAAATAAGAGATCATTTTCTTACAATCATCAATAAATAACCTCATACAATTTCTACAATTCTTACTTTAGAACTTATGTGATTCATGATCTGGTTCTTGTCTACCCGTACATAATTATTTATCAGAAACCATAATTTAGGACATACACCACACTTTGACCTTATATGACTGACATTTATTGAATGGAAAGTCAACAAATTTGGAAACAACTCTTCTACAGGCACATGATCCTTTTCCTCAACCTTTTTTGTTATGTCAGCATTGCCTTGGCAGTGTGTTTTTTCTCTATTTTTTATGTTGTTTTACTGTAATCCTCTTCAAGAACAACATCCCTACTTTTATCTTCATATTTAAAACAATTTGATATTGTATGCACTCTATTTCTTTTGTATATTTTCTGGCATTCCTCACTAATGTGTACACTGTGAAGCAAGACTACAGGGATTTTAATGTTTTGCTCATTACTCCAGTGGTCCAGTGACCAGTAACTATGTACTGAATGTTGAGTAAATTTAGGCATGGAGGAATGAATGTCAGAACCCCCAGTGAAATTTTAATAAGATTAAGGAATATGTGCTGTTTGCTCCATACATTTTCAATAATATATTCAGAGTTTTCAGTCATTGTTTTACAGCTTTGAACTTTAATGAGAGTGTAGAAGAATTATTTTCTAAGAACAACTTTTTTTACACATTGTAATTCATATTTATAGCCTGTAGGAATTTTCAGCTAACTCTACAAAGAGCATAGAATTAGATGTGTTTGGGGATTTGATTTCACTGATTGGTTGTTAATCTGATTGACTTTTCTGGGCTTTATGTAGCCATGAAAACCAGTTTCTGCTGTTTTTAAAGGCTAGAAAAGTAGTGAAAATAATTCAAAGCCTTCCAAAGGTATATTTTCTCCAAATTTGTCTCTATATAGTTGGCTACAAAAGGCTCTGGCGTCTTCCTTTACTTAAAAAAATAATCTTTTGGCATCTCATTCAACTATAGCCTTGTTATTTTGTGATATTTTATTCTTCAGATTACTGAGTTTTAATTAGACTAACAACTTAAAATTAGGATTTTTATTACTATAAGTTTTCCTACATAAATCTAATAGGGTATATTGACTAAAAACACAGGATTAGAAAAAAATAGGTTTAATATTATAAATTTCAGTGTTAACACTCATATTTGAATTTGCATTTATACTATACAGTACAAACTAACTTTTTACCTATTTGAACTTAGTTCTTTGTAATGAAGTCAACTTTTTTTCAGGTATAATTCTTCATAGTAATCATTTAAAAAAAACCTTAACTATATTATTTAACACTAATTATGAAGTTTATGTTAAGTGAATTCCCACTGGGAAGGTGAAGAAAACTAAAATCCTTTGAAGTTGAGTGACTTAGCAGAACATCGGAAAGAAATTATCTAAGCAGGGACTGAAATACAGGAATTTTCACTGCAAACTAAACACTTTTTCTGCTACAAATTTTCCCTTTGTAATATTTACAAATAAGATTTGACTTATTATTTGAACTGTATAAGAACTTAACTTTATTATAAATATAATACTATATTTGAATCTATTTTATTCACTTGTTAATAAGGGTTAGGAAATCAATTACAGTGTAAGATCAAACATCACTAGCAGAAAACAAAAATATTACTAATAATGGCACAGCGATTATTATTAGTTATTATGAAAAATTAATTGAGGAAGCGCTGAAGTCCAGTAGAATGGAGCTCTAACTTTATGTGTTCCAGCAGGTTTAAATATTATCAACAGATAATTTATGAAAAGTGGCAACAAGTGTTCATTAACCAGGTGTAACTTTACCCTCATCGGGTATTTGGAAATGACTGGAGGCCTCTTTGCATTGTTACTAATAGGCTGAGGGCTGAGGCTGCTACTGACACCATGTGATTGGAGGCTAGGGAAGCTTCTAGATATCCTACCACATAGGACAGCATCCCACAACATTAAACTCCCCAGTATAAATTGCCAATAGTGTTGAGATTGGGAAATCCTGATGAACAGAAACAATAGAAGAAAATTAAAATAAAAAACATATTGTACTGCTACAGGACAGATGAGTCATATTATTCAAAGTTCACACAACTGAAGCAAACTGGTGTTGAGATTATGGGAGTAGAATTTGCTCTTGAGTCCTTTAGGGATACCAGTTCCAGAAACATCCCCAGCATCCGCAAAGACACTAAGACAAAGCTTGCAGTGCAAGGAGTTTCTGTGGAAGGCAATCCCAGTATTCACTGGGAAGGAAGAGCAGTAGATAAAATGTGACTGTGAAGAATGCACCCATGGAGAGCACTTGAAACTAACTCCTTCCAGAGCACTCTATCAGACAATGACAATCATGTGTCTCAGATTTAACACAAAGTAGAGGCCAAGAAACTGAAGTGTGGATATCTCAGTTCCTATCAGTCAATTCAAGAGACCTGGCCCCTTAGTAAAAAATTTCCTGTATAGGTGGATGCCTTCCTTCAGCTGCATTGCCCTTATTGATCCAAGTCTCCATCTGCACCACTCAGGTCACATCCAAGTCCCTTTTGCATGTTACAACCTATTTGCTACCCGAAGACAACCAGAAATATGGAACTGGCTTACATAGCCTGTAAGAGTTGCCTGTGCCTTTCTTCCCAGCTTCATGATCGTGATCTGTGACATCATAGTTTGAAATCTACTGTGATGTATTTGCACCATGGAAACCAAGAAAAGTTACAGATTAGTGCTTCCTTTGAAATTCTGAGGACTGGTTGTTAGACATTTATCCACATATCCCTGGAGATAGCTCTTAGGTCCAAGGTCTTTCCAATAGCTTGTCATATCCACTGCCTGAGGAAGGGTATGGTATGATCCAAATGCATTTGCTAGATTTATTCCCAGTTGCTTATGATTGGTTTTCTTTAATCCTATAAAATGAGATAATATTGATATTAAACATAGCTTTGTATCATGCATTTTACGAATCTTTTAATAAATTTCTTTTTAGAATTATCAGAAAAAAATAACCGTTATGCATCTTGCTTTGTATCAACTACTTAATAATTTATTATGTGAACAGAGTTACAAGTTAATGCTCCAGTATGATATGAGAGAGGAAATACTAATCAGGAAATGTCATTATCTTTTCTGGAGAATGAGAAAAAAAGTTTGAACTTTATTTTTATTGCCATATTCCTGGTGAAATAAAGCTTTAGTAGAAGAAAGAATCTGTTGAAATATAACTTAAACTGAATTTGAAAATCACTCACCCTTAATAAGCTAGGAGAGTCTGCAGTGTCTTCTTTAATTCCTTTAAATAATTTATCATATGAATTTCCCCTGCCTGGAAGTTATATAGGGTAAGTTATGACTTTTTTTTTCTTCATATGCCCTTTAGCTTATAACTACATCAAAGATAGATGTGAGCTGCTCAGAATAAATGCCTGTTTCAGAATTCATGCCATGTTATTTTTAAAGATGTTATGTTACAACATGGTTTATTTGACAAGACCACATGATTTATTTTAAGAGGTGAAAATAGCATATTCAACATTGGCTTTGATTTTCATTTTTGCATTTAATGTGGCTTTGACAGAATAAGCATATTAATTTTGGTGCACTTAAAAATTCACAAGTAATTGCATTTCTATGCAAAGCTATGAAATAAGAAAACTGAATCATTGCCAGAAGTATGTTCAAATGTCTGTAATAGACAAAATTCATTCTCACATGCATTCATGAGCATTACTGATACTATACAATTTGCAATATATAAAAATAGAATACTCAATGAATGAGAAAATTCTCATTTGGGACTTAGTTCTTTACTTTGCATTGGCTAAAACAAAATAAAATATCCAATAAGCCACATTTAAGTCAGAAATGAGAGTATACATAAACCATTATTAGTTTATTAAACCTAAAACCAACCTAAACCATGAGCTTTTATGATTTCATGGTCCTGGGCTTTTGGAACAGGAATGCTTTCCGGTCACAAGAATTTTAGGTTGTGATGAATTCTAAGTGAGAAAAGTTAGTGGACCTCCCTCCAACTCATCCTCCTTGTGAATATAAACTGGGATAAAAATGTCATTCATTTTTCCAAGAGTTACCACCCACATGTAAGTCCATTAAATATCAATGATTATCTTCTGATAACTGTTAAAAATACTGGCTTAATAAAACAAGTAACAATTATCACTTACTGACACATGTGTCATCTCTGTGAGGAAAAAAGAGAATAATTTAATTAGCAAATTATTCATTAGAGAAACTTCTAAGAGTGACCATGAGGATACAGTGTTGAACCAGCATAAATGTAAGATGATGTTATTGCTGGCATATGAAATACATACTTGAATAGGACTAGAAGGCAAAAATATGATTGAATTTTTGAAAATGTTTGAAAGGTTTGGTGAATGATGAAAGAAAACCCTGTTACAATTGTGTTATTCCTGGTGTGTTTCTTTTACTTTAACTGACCTCATTTTGCAAAATCCCACTTGTGTCGCAGTTTGTACTCTCAATACAGTTGGGACATATATCCATTCTGTTAAGTCCAAAAGCAGTTCAGTACCTGTGTGGACACCTGTGTGTGAGCCCATTAGGGTGCACCAGAGATCGCCTCCTAAGAAAATAGAAAAGACTATTCCGTGACTCATTTTCTTTCATATTTTCTGACTGCAATATTATTCTAATTCATGAGTGATTAACCAGCTTTTCTGGAGTATAATACTAAGGGACTCATTTTTATAGAGATATACACATATGAGCATAAACATTTATAAATGTGTTTATTTTATTTTCAGTGTAATTCCTTATAAAGTGATTTAATCTAGGGTATAATGTTCACAAAACTATCCTCAAAGTATTTATATTCTAGAAGACATTCTAGATAATATTAAAAATGTGCCCAGTACTTTAAAAATATCATAGAGTTGAAGCATTCAAGAAATCTGTAGGTATTAACATTAATATTTTATAGATATTATATACTTAACCATTAAAGAATTTGTTCAAAGTGACAAAGCAATGGTGTGTGCAAATGTGTCTTAATATGACTTGTGATTCTTCAATTATAGTTTAAATATTTTCAGTGCCTAAAATTAAAGAAAAGTAAGCTATTATATATAATACATATAATATTAAACAATTTAAAGCATATAATAAATATTATAAATGCATAATTATAAGTATTAATTAAATAAAAGTACAATTATGGATAATGTATGTTTTTATACACTGTTATCCCAATGCCACCTGAAAAGATCATCTCAACTAGTCAGTATAATATATTAGAAAGTATAAAATCAAAACTAGTATCACTCATATGATTAGATGGTAGACACTGGAATTCTGTTAATATATAAAATCTCAATATTAATTCAAATTCTTATGTATGAAATGCAAAACTATAGAAATGTCCTCTGAACCAGTGCACAGCATGATATTTAATTTTATGTCAGTATTATTTCTCTTAAAATAGAACAAAAATATAGAAAAATAGCAAAATTACTGATTTTCTTTATTTGGTTGTTAGAACTCTCTAAAATGCTTTAAAAAGCCTCTTGGCTAGACCCATGGATGCATATACTATGCTCCAATTATTCCCTATTCAAGGGAAATAAGAGAATTTCATTACATTTTATTTAGAGCCCCGCAACTCCTGAATTAGAAAATTTGGCACACATTTCTAAGACAGGAGAGAGACATAAATAGAACCTATTCAATTCCTGAAAAGCACTATAAAGAGGAAAATGTCTATTTACAGCTAAGGGGGGGGGGGCTGACTTTCTTGATAAGCTGCTTCTTTTGCAGTTAATCATTTTTTTAACTTAATGCTTATTTTCTTGTCTTGCAACAAGAATGTGCACTTGAGGTCATCAAATTAAAAACCAAACGACAACCCTGTATCATTGCAGAAACAACGTGTATCATTCTAACAGCTCAGATTAAACATACAACATGGGAAGGAGGTTAATAAATAGTTTGACAGCAGCCTACCACGTTAACTTGTATTTCACCAAAGTACTTGAGTAAATGGAAAGAGTGATGATATCAAGTTGGTGAAGTTTGAGGGCCGAACCCCAGACACTGAAAAACTGAATGAACCAGATGCTCTGAAGTCGCTGCCTTGCAAGATCTAGGTGCTGCTTGACCCATGTTTTCCCCATGACATATTATATTTTCTGATGTAATCATCTTATCTTTTCTGGTGTAGATGCTATTTATCTTGATGTATACACTTTTTGGAAAGTTAGCTATAAATTTAAATTGTGTATATCTTTACCAATGTAGACAAGATTTAACCAATTCAAAAGTTTCTGGGGAGTTAATAAGAATTGTGGAGTTGTTGAATGGGACTGGAGTGACAAAATATTTTACTAAGTAGCAAATTGGGAAAAATGTGGTAAATAACTACACTGATATTTGAGAAATCCAGAACATTTGTACTAATTCATCATGGAAAACCCATTTACAAGAGACTCACAAAGAACAAAACCAACCTGGAGCCACTTCAATCCCTGGTTATGTTAATGTTGTCAGCTCATATCTTACTTCTTTTCATATTAAAAATATATTCTCCTCGGAGAGGTGACTCACAATTTTCTGAATGCAAATATTCCTTTAATTTTAATGTCGGGACATTAAGAAAAATATGAGAAAATAGCATGATATTTTGAAACACTATAATAAGCTCACCACTAACATTTGTAATACAAAAGATAGCAGAATATCTTAAAATTTGTGAAAGAAAATGACTGTTCCAGAACACTATCCTAAAAATAGTATCGCTGCAAATGAAGACTAAATAAACACATTTGGAACCAAACAAAATGAAGAAATATACCAAGAAAACTCCAGTAAATGGAAATTTTAAAAGTTCTTGAGTCTTTTGGTGAAAGTTCATGGATTAAACTTTGTCCTTTTTAAAAGTTTCAACCTTTCTGGGGCCTCCCTGGTGGTGCGAGGAGTTAAATCTCAACACTATGAAGCTATTCCAGCCACTGCAACATGAGTTCGATCCCTGGCCAGGGAGCTGACCCACATGGCGCAGCAGACCTTATCTGTCTTGCCCTCCACTCCCCTCAGCAGTGTGTTTCAGTAGATCTGCCTGTTCTGCACCCCACTCTGTCTCTGGTGAATCCTCTCACCCCCATCCCCACCCCGCCCGTACCTCTGGCCTACACCCCAGCTCTTGTATTCATAAATAAATAAATCTTAAAAAAAAAAAAGTTCCCACCTTTCTATTCCTCTTGCCGAACCATCTTAATCTTACAATGTGTTTTAAAACTAGAATATTTTAGCCATTTAAATTTGTGATAAGTGAGAGGCAAGTAGCATGTCTCCTTGACGTAATTCTGTAGGTGATGCTGGCTTTTCTTTCCTTCATCCTGGCTTTTCTCCCTTGTGTGGGTTTGCTTTTTAAATTGTCACTTCTACTTTGGAGAGCTGTGGAAGAAAAGAGGACCCCATGAGCTAAAATTCAGATAGAAATGGACATTCCTAGTGGAACTGAAGCTGTTGACCATTTTTGACCCTGGGGGCTTTACTAAATCTGAGCTTATTTTGAAGTTTGTTTATGCCATAGATTGAGAAAGCTATTAGCTTATCATAGAAAAAGGAGAAGATTGCCATGAGCCTGGAGACTGGTATAATTAATTTTAATAAAGAAAAGCAATAGATGCATGGTCAGTTTTAATCATGAGACATTCACAGAGTGATGGAGCAGTGAATCTGGCTGGGAAGTGATGGGTGGACTAGAGTAAACTCTTCTGTAGTTCTTTGATATTTAAGAGACAAAGTGCTAATAGAGGAAGAAACTGACAACAAAAACATGATGGCTTTCACCCTTGAGTCATTGAAAACTAACTGGAAGTGAAGTAGGTATAATTGAACTGCAGCCCAGACAGTCCCAACCCAGCTCAATCCTTGCTCTCCTCCTAGAAACCTGTCAGGAGCTCAGCCGAGCTGGGCAGGAGCTTTCAGTTACTGAAGTGACTGATGAAAACAACAGGCTCAGAATGAAAGAGTAAAACCTTTAGTTGCTTAGTATAAGCAGGAGGTTAAAACTGGAGAGACCAGAGACGACTCCTGTTCTATTTTTCTCCAAGGACAGGTGCATGAGGGGAGCAGGAGAGCTGGCGCAGGTATGTGGATTATTGGAGACGCCATCAGTGTTGATGGAGGCCTGAGCAGCAGGTGGGTTTAATGGAGTCTGTGACTGGGCGAGAAAGTGTTGAACCAGAATGGGGGAAGCGTCTTCAAAGTTTCCTTCTTTCTCCATGAGGAGGTCTCAGCAGAGGTGCCAAAAGAGACCTCGGCCCATTACAAACTAGAAGAGAAGATGCCAGGGGCAGGGATGAAAAATACTTCAGCGTTTGACTGGCTGGGGGCGCTGATTCCTTTACTGAAAGTCCCTCCATAGACAATTCATTTGCTGTGCACCGTGGCTGGTGTTTGTGTGTGTGATGGGGGGAGAAGGGGAGCAACTTATTCCTTGAGATTTACCAGGTAAAACTATTTTAGACAATCTATAGTCAGGCCTAAAATTCACACAAAGGTTAGAAACTAGAAACTATAGACTATTCAGACATAATATAGAAAAAAAATCTGTATAATTTCACACTCTCACGAATGTTGCCTTTTGGCAACATTTCACATGCAAAGTGCCAAGATATGGAAAACACATTATTTTAGCAATTAAATAAGTGGGTACTGTAGATTGTGAATAAAGTATGCCTTCACTTTGTGATTATCTAGGGATCAATTTCATTTTTATCCTTAAAAAGCCAGTGACCGCAGACACGTGTGATAGAGTAAAATACAGAATATTAAATCCTTCGAAAATACTGGAGAACTATTGTAAAGAAAAGTAAGAACTATACACTCAATAGGAAAAAGCCAATGTGAAGTCAAGTGAATAAAAGCAGACAGATTCTAAAAAGCAGAGGAAATTTGCCAGTACAGAATGGCAGGAGGTGAATAGCTTGTCTTTAGCGACTTTCAGCCTGAAGGCAGACGGCAGTTCACGCCACTTTCTGCAGCTAACATTCTGACAGAATACTCACAATCATACCGACTTAAAGAAGCAGAAGAGAGAGGTGAGGAGAGGTGGAGATACCCTTAGATGCTGGAGAGGGAGGTGCAGGGCCTGGAAAGAGCCAGCTGGAGACTGGAATCAAATACTCCCTGCATGAACTCTAATAATAGAACATTCTCTCCCTAATCCCTGAACCACATCCCCTTATGGGTCTCAGTCAAAGCAGCTCAGTATAAAATAACGAAACTGTAATTTAAATTGTTGACCAGACACAGCATTTTCAGATTAAACCCCATCAATTTAATTGCCTGTTAAAGCAAGCAAATCAATGAGACTATCCATACCGTTTAGTAAACTGTAACAGAGCGTAGGTATCGCCTAGAATGACATTCATAATGTATAGGATACGATTTAAAACTATCAGGTCTAGAACAAAAAAAAGGAAAATGTGTCTTATTCTCAAAAAAAAAAAGAAAGAAAAAAGAAAACATTAACAGCAAAATAATCCAGATGTTGCGATAACTGGATGAGGATTCCTGCACTTGTATTTTTAACCAGATAGTGCAAAAGAAAATGTGCTTGAAGATTAAAAAGCAGAAAAATAACATAGAAGTACAAATGAAAAGAGAATACGAGAAGCAGAAATACAGCTGGAAAACTTTACTGATTGAGCGCAACAGCACAGCGGGGCTAGAGTATAGCAGTGCGGTGTCCACAGAAAGGGGAGGTTCCAGGTTCCACACAAGGAAGGGTGGAGTTGAGCCACCAGGGGAAGCTAGAAAAGACTGGGAGAAGAAAAGAGAGAGTGGGTAAAGAAGATGTGGAGGAAGAAGAAACTGCACTTGCATTGACTTTTACCAGGGACTTGGAGGGCATGGAAACAGACACTGAAAAAGACAGAGATATAGGAGAGAAACCAGTGGGAAAGCTGAACATGGCAGCCATTACCTTGATTTTGGTCCTTTCTTCCCAATCCTGCCTGGCCTCTTCTGCCCCTTTTCTACGGATCCCTAACAGAAGATGCCTTAGATGTGTGGCAGGCCTTTGGGCTTCAGTGGTCCTGCTTTGGGCCAACCCCATTTGGCTAGGCTTTTACCTATGAGGGGATGGGTAACTTTGGGTGTTTCACTGCAAACTATTTTAACTATATTGTTATTTTCTTTCAATTTGCACTCTAATTGTAGTAGTTTTTTTTTTTTTTTTTCTATTGATGGTCTTATAGCACTAAAGGATGTTTTATCTTTATTCGGCAGATGGCAGAACCCATTTAGAGCTGGCAGGTTTGGGTGTCCTCATTTTGCCCAGCAGAAGCATTAGTTTGTTTGGACTTACACAAGAAGTAGCATGAACTGGGTGACTCAAGCCACAGAAATGCGTTGTCTCACGGCCTTTCGTGGGGCTAGAAGCTCAAGAGCAGGGTCATCAAGTCAGTGTCTTGGGAGGGCTGCGAAGTATGCTCCATGCCTCTCCTCTAGTGCTTGCTTATGACACTGGCTCCTGGAGCCAATGCCTAACTCTGCCTTCATCGTGATGTGCCCTGTTCGTGTGTGTGAGTCAGTGCCCAAGCACCCCCTTTGTAGGACACCAGTCATACCTGGTTAGGGCATTTTGAGCTGATTCATTCCATTTGCAATGACATTTCTCCTAAAAAAGATATCATGTGAGGTTCTAGCATTAGCATGAGGATTTGGGGGGCACACAATTCAACTCAGAAGAGGCTTGATTGAGAGTTAGTAATATAAAGACATTAATGAAAATGAGTCCATCTGAAAAAGGAAAGACACCATGATGACATGATGGAACAGAACACAGAAGTAAAGAGCTCCTTGTGGAACTCCTGGACAGCACACACAAATCCAACTAGATTTCATAGAAAGGTGCAAAAGAGAATGTGGGAAAAATATTTGATGAAATCATGGCTCATAGTCTCAGGAGATGTTCTAAGACAAGAATTTACAGGTTTATGAAGATGAACATGCTTCAAGAAGAACAAAATCAAATTAAACCAACAAAAAAATAATTCTGAAAAACCAAGATAAAATCTTGAAAACAGATTAAAACATGTTCTAGGCTGAAGAACAGTGACATTAATAACTACTGTCTTGATGACAATAAGTAGCTGTTAGTCCATGTTGATCTAAATAAATGAATACATTAATAACTAAAGAGTAGACAAATTATTCAAATTTAACACGGAATTCCAACAGACACTTATATGGGGAATGGTAGAAACAGACAATTCTCAGAAACCATTACAGGAATAGATGATAAAGTTGAGAGTAAACCCCCAAATCTAAAGCTAGTGGGTATAGCTACGACAAGGAAATAGATGATAGTCATCTAGCTTTTAAAATTCATTTGGTTGAGTTAATGTTGGTTTACAACACAGGTATACGATCCCACTGCTTCAGACGTGTTTTATTACCAGGGTTGTGTGGTGGTAGTGACTTGTCATGGGTATGTGCTGGATATTTTGAGGCAATACTGCATAAACACACACATTATAAATAGAGGAAAGAGGGAATAAATACTGTAAAAACATTACTATGGGTATGTAGATGAGAGATACTGAATGTTATGTATGTTGGACTTGCAAGTCCTTGTAGGTTGCAAGCAATTTTTTTTTAAAAAGGTAGAAAATTATTTTTTTCCAATATTGTGAATAAATATAGGACCTCATTGTAGATGCTTAAGATATCAGATGAGATATTAGGAAGATATTAAGAATAGCTTTCCATAAAACAGTTCTTACAGGAGTTATGCAGATTCTTTGAGAACTATGATCTATGAAACCTGGCTCAGAAACAGAAAATAAGTCTTAATTCCATCATTAAAAAGCCTTTTCACAAAGAAAATCCCAAACCTAGAGAACTCCTTTGGATATTTCTTTGAATAATTGAGGAGAAGTTGACATGAATCTTACTGAAAATCTTACAAAGACTAGAACATATGGGAGACTTTCTCAATCTTAGAGATCAGCATAATCTTCCTATCATTAGTTGATGAAGACTTTTCAAAAGAAAATACAGGCAATCTCTAGTATTAATTTAAATATAAAAATCCTTAAAAAGATTGCAAATCAAGTCCAATTCTCTTCTTAGGTATATCCTAAAAACATTCAGGTAATTTTGTATCTTCATTGCAGGTATTTTATAATATCTGCTATTCAATTGATATATAAAATTTGAATCCTTCAAAGGTGAATTGTATACAGATAGACTAAACTGATAGGATAATTATTCTAATGAAATAATCCTCCAAAGAAGAGATCTCCTTCCTCAAGGACCAGCCTCATTGTTACAGAATTGACAGGTTCTTTACAAATTAAGTATGGGTTAATTGTCTTTGCTATTTTAAAAAAATGAGGAAATGAATCCTAGGTGTGAATTACCTTCACATTTTGTATTGTGCTTTCTCTCTAGAAATAGTATTTGATGATTTGCTTTGTTAACCAGATTCACCATTGATATTCTACCTTATAGAAGTGAATGATGCACAGTGTGAATGTACTTTAATGCCCCTGAACTGCACACTTAGAAATGGTTAAGATGTTATTTTTCATATTATCCGTATTTCTCTAGAGTTAAATTCTAAACACTAAAAATAAAGAAAAAGAAAAAAGATACTTGAAATCCCTTGTGGGTAATCCAATCTAGGTTTGTTTATGGGTTGACTATGACAAAGTACCATAAACCGGTGACTTAAAGCAAAGTAAATTTCTTCTCTTACTATTAGGAAGGGCATTAGACTACAATCAAGGTGTTTGCAGGTGACACTCTGAAGCATCTAGGGGAGGGTCCTTCCTTGCCTCCTTGAGGTTCTGGTAGCCTTGAGAATCCTTCGACTTGTGGCAGCATAACCCCAGTGTCCACCATCGTCCTGCACCGTGGCCTTCTGGTTGTGTCTGCATTCCTCTGTGTGTCTGTTTTCTCTCCTTATGAGGTTACCACAACTATAGGCTTAGGACTCACCCTAAAGAGTATGACCTCATCTGAACTGGATTACATCTGTCAAGACCCCCATTTCCAGACGAGGTCTTAGTCACAGGTAATGCAGATGAGGAATCCAAACTATCTTTGGCTGGGTGTGGGGGTAGGGAACACGATTCAATTCCAACACACCCTAACTTCAAAAACACAAAACCGTACCTCGTCCAGTC